CTCGCCGAAAATAGCAGCATAATAGTTGAACTTAGCAGAAGAATCAATATCGTTGAGAGCCACTGTCAACGCATCGAATCCCTGCAACAACAGGTCAAAACCATCACGTCTGCTACTGCCGAGACAACCCAGGCAATCTCAGACATAGAAGCACGAATTGATGACGCCGAAAATCGAGCCCGCCGCAATAATCTAATCTTTTTCGGTATTCCCGACCCTGGCGCATCGGAATCTGCCTCTCAGATAGAAGAAAAAATCATTCGCCTTTGCTCAGATCAGTTGGGCTTAACTGTGAATCCCGACGAGATTGAGCGTGCGCATCGTCTCGGCCGCCACAATACTAGCCGTAACCGCCCCATAATTGCGAAATTTGCTCGCTTTAAAACCAAAGAAAAAATCCTGTCTAATGGACCCAAGCTCAAAGGCAGTAACTGCAGAATTGGTCAGGACTACTCCCGCGCAGTACAAAATGCCCGGAAACACCTTCTTGCTTTTGCAAAGGCGAAAGCTGTCGCCTTTTGTCTACGTTATAAAACCCTGTACATAGGATCCGCGAAGTATATGTACGATGACGCAGCGAAGCGTGTTAAAGAAATCAGATAGCAATTGCCACATCATCGACAGCCATCACAGCGCTCGATAACAATACGCCCAAGCACTGCTATTTCAGCAATTTTTACTAACATACGGAGTTTTCTTCCTAAACGCGACGTCGTATGTAATATTGCCCTATCGTCTGGGTGTAATTTGTTAATACTTACCGAAACATGGCTTACTGCCGACGTATCCGACGCAGAGGTTATGGATGACCTACCAGGCTTTCATGTTTTCCGCAAAGATTGTCAGAACTCCAGAGGTGGTGGTGTGCTCATTGCCGTCAGTGATACCTTGCCTTGCACCATTGTTCATACACCCAGTGATCTTGAAATACTATGGCTACTTTTCCGTTCCTCTCCTCATACTATCTTACTTGGTGTATGCTACCGCCCGCCGCGAACAGATACGGACTTCATTGAAAAGCTTAGCTGCGTCTTGAACACACTCACGACAAAATACATTAACGCTCAGATATTGTTCTTTGGGGATTTTAACTTCCCTCACATAAATTGGAATAGTAATCCGCCTTCATCACTGAGTAAAGCCGATAATGATTTCCTCGATCTCTGTTTTAACTTCAATTTAAGTCAGCTTGTGTTACAACCAACACGCGTTGCGCATGGCTCAGCCAGCGTTTTAGATCTTATACTAACCAATAGTCCAAATAGCCTATCTTCGATGTCTTACCTCCGCGAAATTAGCGACCATAAAATAATCCACGCAGTCTTTAGCTTTACCTTGCTGAAATGAGAATCGTGGAGAAAAACAATACGCTTATACGGCAAAGGCAACTACGATGCCATAAACAACGAACTTATCGCTTTTTACTCGACTTTTTGCACCGATTTTCACAGCTGCACACTTCATGCAAACTGGTCGATCTTCCAACAAAAGTTTACTGAGCTCGCCACCAACCACATTCCAGTTATTTCAGTACAAGCTAACCGCAATAAACCTTGGTTCAATAGGAAATTAAAATCTCTAGAAAATAAGAAAAAACGACTTTACCGATTCGCAAGGCAACAAAATTGTACCACGGCCTGGGAAAAATATTACGTAGCTGAGAAAGTTTACTTATCAGCTATACGTCATGACAAGCACTCTTTCTTTTATGACACCTTACCTCGTGTACTCAAGAGCAACCCCCAAAAATTCTGGCAAATTTTAAACCCCAAGCCACCTACTGCTGTTGTCATTACCGACCATAACGACATTGCGATTCCTGAGCAAGAATGTGCTGATGTATTTAACCTTGCTTTTTCATCTGTATTTACCACTGAACCTGATGCTCCTCTACCAGTGCCCCCACCCCCTGTCCAAGGTGTCATGCCAGCAATCCAATTCAGCGAACAAGGAATAATAGCCATAATTGAAAATCTTAAACTTTCATCAACTTCAGGGGCAGATGATATCAATACAAAACTGTTAAAAAACACCAAGAACATCTGCGCAGCCTATTTCAGAATTATTTTCGAGCAGTCCTTATCATCCGGTAGCATCCCCCTCTCCTGGAAGGAAGGGCAGGTCGTTCCAATCTTCAAATCAGGCAACAAAAGCTCTCCTCTCAACTATCGACCGATTTCCCTGACTAGTGTACCTTGCAAGATAATGGAGCACGTCATCTACACGCAAATCATGCAGTTTCTTGACAGGCACAACTTTTTTCACGCATCTCAACATGGATTCCGGAAGGGCCTCTCATGCGAAACGCAACTTGCCATGTTCATCCACGACTTGCACATCAACCTCGATACTAACAAACAGGTAGATGCCATTTTTCTTGATTACGCAAAAGCTTTTGATAAGTTACCCCACCAACGGCTGTTACTTAAGCTCTCTCAGTTGAATCTACATCCCGATATTTTCCATTGGATTAAGGAATTTCTTGCTAGCCGATCACAGTCAGTACATATCAATAATTCCATTTCCGCCCCCCTCCCTGTAACATCTGGCGTTCCACAGGGCAGCGTCTTAGGCCCTCTGCTGTTTCTTATTTATATAAATGACCTCCCTCTACATGTTTCCTCTCAAATCCGAATGTTCGCAGATGATTGTGTCATCTACCGTACAATCACTAACAATGCTGACCACGCTGTTCTGCAAGAAGATCTCAACAATATTCAGGATTGGTGCAACGAATGGCTGATGACCCTCAACCCCAACAAATGCAAGGTAATATGTTTCACTCGCCGTCTTCAGCCATTATACACACCTTACACTATTGCTAACACTTCATTAGAAACAGTGGATACATTCAAGTACCTTGGTGTCACACTCTCACATGACTTAAACTGGTCGCCTCATATAGCATGCATTACCGCCTCGGCCAACCAAACCCTGGGATTTCTAAAACGCCACCTGCGTCATGCACCACGCCACGTAAAACTTCTAGCATATAAGTCACTCGTACTCCCGAAACTAGAATACGCTTCTCCCATATGGTCACCTCATCAAGCATGTCTTATCAATACCCTAGAAGCCATTCAGAATCGCGCAGTAAGGTTTATTCAATCGTCATATTCCTATAACATCAGCATATCATTACTAAAAACACAGTCTGGTTTAAACACGCTATCATACCGGCGCCGCATTGATTCATTAATCCTTTTTCACAAGTTTTTCTACAGCTCGCTTCATCATGCCCCATATATTTTGGCCCCGCCACCGCGCACATCGCTGCGCACAGGGCACCACTTGCAAGTTTCTCGTCCACGCAGCCGCACTACAACATTTTCTGCATCTTTCTTTTGTCGATCATCAGTTGACTGGAACGGCCTGCCCCGCCATATCGTCGAAACCACCTGCTCATCATCATTTTCGGTAAAACTAAAATCTGCTGTTTTTCAATAAATGTATGTAGCCACTATTTTGTAAAAAAATGTGTGTTAACCCCACCCCTTATGTAATACCTCCAGTGCGGGGTCTTTAAGGAAAATAAAGTGAAGTGAAGATAATCATGCCATCTTTTGATGTTGCCCGAGAGCTTTGGACTTCGAAAGATGCGCTTCTTTTTATTAAGTAGCCGCCTTAAAGTAGGCGTGAACCAAGCAAACCGATTGTTATTGGTTATTTTACGGTGCGGTATAAAGCGGTCGGTAATTTCTTCGATTTTTGCTCTAAAATGTAGCCAGTTTTTGTTTACCGAGTGTTCAGAAAAGCTAGAAAAAATTCCTGTGAAAATGTCTCCAGTTCAGCATTAATTAACGTGTAGTCAGCTCTTTCGTAATCTCTGATTATTTTTGTAGTTTTACTAAATTTTGACGGCGTGTTTGGTACGGGAAAGTGAATGGCAGAGTGATCGCTGAGACCTGGCATGACTGACAGAAACTGGATGAGATCAGCGTTATTTGTGAACACCAGGTCTAATATGGTAGAACTAGTAGACGTGATACGGGTTGGGGAGTTAACCAAATGGCTAAGGTTAAACTCTAAGCATGTATTAGTAAAAGAGGTGGATTCGGAATTACTGGAGCCAGGTAAGGTACAATGCAAATTCCAATGGATGTCGGGGAAATTAAAATCGCCTAAAAGAATACTATGCGAGGTGGGAAACCGAACATGAAGCTTGTTAAGGGCATCGGACAAATCAGAAGAAAAACCAACAGGTACTTTAGGAGGCCGATAGCACGCACAAACGAGAGCGTCTTTATTGTGTAGGCGAACACTAACGCACAATAATTCTAGAGGGCAAACGAGAGCTACGTGCAATGAAACCAGATCATCTGCAACAGCTATGAGGACACCGCCTCCGGAACGCGATCCACGATCGCATCGATAAAACTTGTATTTTTTTCGCAATTTAGAATTTCTGAGCTGCCTACTTCCGCGGAAAGCCACGTCTCTGTCAATATGACGACGTCTGCAAGACAGGTGTCAATCAGAGATGACAGGGCGTCTCGCTTGCCCATTACACTTCTCACATTACTAAGCAGAAAGGAACAATTGTGCTTGACAGTACCACGTCGTGGATTTGCTTTTTTTTTTGCTACGCAGACGCTTAGACCGACGAGCTATGAGGACTTAGGTTAGTGTCGTTATTGTTGTTATCATCAACTATAATAACAGACAAGACACGATCAGTGACTGGGCAGTACACATCACTTTTCCTGTTAATAACAACCTTGTTGTATTTTACTGAATACTTTTGACTGCTGGCTTTACCGAAATCAGTTAGTTTTTTCCTGGCTGTCCGTCCCAGGTCTACCAACGACTACCACTCAGTTCATCCGTGGCCTTCACTGTGGAGGCGTTAGGACACGACTGTGACCTGCCCGACTTAGTAGAGCTGCCTTGTGTATAGCACCGAATTCACTAAGCTTCCACCGGAAAAAACGTTTTGTGACTTTACTCGTAACTGAACGGAAATTGTGCGAAAGTAGGGCTGATGCAAATCTCTCATACAGATTCCTGTCGTGAGTGATCTACCGGTGGGCGAAAACCTCCAGGATCACGTGCACATCGACGGCGTCGCTGGCAAGCTTCCTTCGCCTCACGGCATCGGGCTTTTCAATCTCCCTCTCGTCATCGACTGGCGGTCAGGTGAAGTATACCTTTCTTTCCGAGCAGACAAGACAAGTATTTGGAGGATGGTCACTCTGCACGCGCTTTACCTCACGAAAGAATATATGTCTGGTAAAAATTAGCCCCGTATCAGCATGTTTCTGCAAATGTCGTCGAAAGACGATAGTATCGCGTGGGAAGAGTGTGAACAAGACATTTATTTGATGTTCTTCGCAAGAAAATCGGGGAAGGGTATTCTGGAGGCGCTGCGTTAGAGTGCCTCGAGCGTGCAGCGGAGACGAACAAACACATCATGCACGTCACACGTGAGACATGAGCGCCATCTCGCACTTTTCTTGGAAAACAAAGCGCGCGGCTCGGGGGCGGGTGTGCGTGCCCATCTCAGAGGTGATAAGGTGTAGAACGCAAGGCGACAGTCGGGGCCACCACAGTCTCGTCTTAGCAAAGCGTTGGAAACACTCCCCGTTCTGTGCAAACATTGCATGGTCAGCGCAGCGTGATAAGCGCTACGGTCCTTAAAATTCCTTATGTGTGCCTTTTCTAGTAAAAGACGCACATTCGGAATATATACTTGTTGTTATGGTGCCCCAAACTTGCGCAATAACTGCTTTTTTAATTGACGATTGCACAAGCATGGGCGCTCAACTTTGAGCAACATTGGTGGGTGCCATGGAAGAAGGAAAAACTAGAGAGGCCCTATTCGCAACTTTCACAGATGGTGGCGTCGCCATGCGGCATCTCTCGTCACTGTCGTTTTAATGACGCCCACGCAGCCAGCACAAGCCATCGTTCTGTCGGCTTCACTTTGGTGGTTCGCTGGAGTTTTATACTTTGTCACTGGCAATTTATACTACGGTTATTCTAAATTCGGACAGGTACTGTGAGTCGTAGTAACAATGCTTTCCTCTTTATTGTTTGCTTGCTGAGTTAGAAGAATCACGAAATATGTTGGATGCCGCTGTGCAGACTACGTTCAGTCAAAGGCGAGGTTTTCTGCTTTGCACGAGCACTGTCGCTCGATCTTCCCCGGCTGTGGCACGAGCAGCGTTCACAAAGCTGCACGTGCATTCCTTCACACCACAGCAGACAATATGCCAGGCGTTCAAAACTTCTCTTTCCTGAATATACGCCGCACACGCATTTCCTTACACGCAGAGTGGAATATAATACATGCTAGAGCCAATGATCTTCTCAGCAAAGCCTTTACAATACGGGGGCTGCAGCCGAAAATACTTTGCTGTTCGGAGTGACAGTCACACCGGTGGCGGCTGCCGGCCCGCCGGCTCCTCAAACGACAGGCATGTTGGGCTTGCAATAGCGCCCTCTCTAGGTGGTGAAAGTTGCGAATCCTATCCCAATGCATTGCGAGATGTGTGGCGGAAGTGACGTCAAACTTATAGAGCAAACTAACCGGCATGGGAAAAACAAAACAGCAGACGCTCCGCGGCGTGCTCTCAGTGCTGTTTCGCTTATATAGTGCCGGCGTTAACGCGTATTGTATATTTTGCATGTGGTATAATGTTGCGAGCATACCTTTCCGATACTGTTCGCGCGTGGCAGGCCTGTGCTGAAATACTTCTTGGAGTGTTTTTGTGCAACGGCACAGAAAGCACCGGTACGTGTCGTAATGGAAATCATTCAGCCCCTGCATCATCGTATTCGAGCTAACCCGGCAGGAGCTTACGCGTTCTGCTCGCCGCAAGGCCTTTCTAAATGCGAAGCATTTCTTAGCAATTTTCGACGACTTTGAGCGTATCTACCTATCTATCTATCTATCTATCTATCTATCTATCTATCTATCTATCTATCTATCTATCTATCTATCTATGTATCTATGTATCTATCTATCTATCTGCCTGTCTGTCTGTCTGTCTCTGTCTGTGTCTATCTGTCATCTTATGAGGTCTTGGTTTGGATTACCTTTATTAGGCCTGAGGAACCGGCAGCCGACAGCTACGATGAATGAGCCAAGATGATGATGCTACGCGACAACGATGAGGATGCATGAGCCACACATGATATTGATGATAATGTACCGGTGAAGAGGATGCGTATACTAAATGCCCACACCAATTCCCCCCACGTGAAAGCGGCCAGCCTGGCCGCGACAAGTCAAGGGGACAAAGAACGTCGCATGAAGGGCTGCATACGGGAGACATAGACGACCTCTGTAGTTAGATAACGGCAATCTGCTGGGGCTACAAGTGGCGTCACGTGATAATTCACTGGTGAAGTCTTTTCAAGAACTGTGCACAGCCCGATAAACCGAGGCTGAAATTTGTCACACAAACCAGGTGTGCGAACAGGCGTCAAAAGGAGCACTTCGTCTACAGGTTGGAAGGATACAGCACGATACGATTCATCATAAACTAGCTTTCTGTCTTGCTGTCGGGCTTCAGTATTTATACGAGCACGTTGGCGGCACTGTGCGAGTCGTGAAAGGCTATTCCTCTGTAGAGGATGGAGATGAATTCGCTTGGCAGGTAAAGAAAGAGACGTCCAGGAAAGAAGTAGGGGAGCGTCCATAAACTAGGTAAAATGGCGAGTAGCCGGTTGTCCGCTGAATGGCCGTATTGTAGGCGAAAGCGACGAATGGTAGAACTACGTCCCAGTTTTTGTGGTCTGGTTGAATATAGGCGGTGATCATGTCAGCAAGAGTGCGAGTGGAATCGCTCAGTGAGACCGTTAGTCTGGGGATGATAACTAGAGGCAGTCTTGTGAGTTGTACCGGAGGCGTGAAGAAGTTCGTTCACTAGTTGTGAAAGAAGGCCCTTCCTACGGTCACTGAGCAACACTCGTGGAGCACCATGACGCAGTCTAATGGCTCGGAGGATGAAATCGGCAATTTCAGAAGCTGAACCAGTAGTAACGAATGCCGTCTCGGCGTAGCGTGTCAAATGGTCAACGACTGTTACTATCCATCGGTTTCTAGCAGCACTGACTGGGAGGGGGCCATAAATATCGACGCCTACAATTTCGAATGGTGTGGCTTCGAATGTAGTGTACCGGCGGGAGCAGATGTTGCTGATTTTTTACATTGGCAAGTAGTGCAGGACCCAACGTACCGATCTACACTAGTGGTAATGCCTGGCCAATAAAACCGACTTCAAAGGCGATCGTAGGTTTTATAGCAACCAAGGTGACCAGCTGTCGGATGGTCATGAAGCGCTCTGAGGACTTCGGACCGAAGTGATCGGGGTAGAACGGGAACCCAGTGCTGACCGTAAGGATGGTAAATTTTGCGGTACAGCACCGAGTTGTTCAGCTTAAATTGCGTGAGTTGGCGACGGAGCCTTGCATTAGGTGGACGGGAACAGCCAGTGAGGTAGCCTATAATACGTCGACAGTATGGGTCAGCCAACTGTCGAGAAGGAAAATCGTGGGATTCATCCGAAGGCAGCTGGTTCATAGAGGCGAGAGAGGAAACCGCCGTAGACGTGGACTCCGAGGGCGTGTTGTGCAAATTGATTGCGGAAACCCCGAGTGGAGTCGCAGTGGGCAGCGAGAAAGAGCATCGGCGTCACTATGCTTCCTGCCACACTTGTAAACGATCTCAAAATCATATTCTTGGAGGCGTAGAGTCTAGCGTCCGAGGCGTCCCGACAAGTTCTTGAGTGTCGAAAGCCAACATAAAGCGTGGTGGTCGGTCACAATGGTGAAATGGCGGCCGTGCAGTTATGGACGAAATTTCTGTACTGACCAAACGATGGCGAGGCACTCCTGCTCGGTGATCGTGTAGTTCCTCTCAGCTGCGGAGAGGACGCAGCTGGCGTATGCAATGACTCACTCGCGCGAATAATTGTCGCGTTGCAGGAGCACGGCTCCTAAACCGCGGCCGCTAGCGTCTGTGTGCAGGAAGCTCGGTGCATCATCGTGAAATTGAAAAAGTACAGATCGGTCGTGTGGGCACTCTTCAATCTGTCGAAAGCCGATTCACATTCCTGAGACCACTGAAAGGGCATACGGGAAGCAAGTAGCTTATGAAGTCGTGCGGCTATGGAGGCAAAGTTTTGTATGAATCGCCGAAAGTAAGAGGCGAGCCCAAGGAATCTACGCAAATCTTTCGGTTTGTCAGGGCGATGGAAGCGAAGCACTGCAGCAGTTTTATCAAGGTCTGGACGAATTCCGTCCTTGCTCACAACATGACCGAGTACCTTGACAGATCTGCTGGCGAAATGTCACTTTTTGGTGTTAATTTGAAGACCAGCGCCCGCAAGACAAGTCAGGACCTTGCCCAAGCGTTGCAGATGTTGAGGAAACGTCGATGAAAAGACAACAATGTCATCGAGGTAACATCGGCAAGTCTTCCATTTCAGGCCATGCAGCATGGTGTCAATCATGCGCTGAAATGTTGCGGGCGCATTGAATCAACCGAACGGCAGAACATTGAATTCGTATAGGCCGTCCAGGGTTGTAAACGCAGTCTTGTCTTTATCATCTTCGTGCATGGGGTTTGCCAATAGCCGGAACGCAAGTTGAGGCTCGAAAAGTATTCAGCACCCTGTAAGGAATCTAGGGCGTCGTCGATGCGTGGCATGGGGTATACGACCTTCCTAGTGGTCTTATTGAGTGCTCGGTAATCGACACAAAATCGTAAGGAACCGTCTTTTTTACGCACCAGAACGATGGGCGACGACCAAGGACTGGTAGAGGGTCGGATTATCTCCCATTGGAGCATATCGTCTACGTTTTCTTCAATGATTTTTCGTTCGGCTAGAGAGACGCGGTACGGACGGCGGTGCACAATGTATGTTTCGTCGGTCTGAATACGATGTGCTGTAGCGATTGTCTGGCCCAGGGTGGATGAATGAACGTCAAAGGAGTTTGCATGCTTTTTCAACAAATCAAGCAGCTGCTGCTTCTGTGAGTCTGTCAAGTCTTTGTTGATGGCTGCTGTAAAGGCCGAGGAAGCAGCATGATCTGCAGGATGGCCTTTAGAGGAGACAGGGGTAAGAGGCACAACGCACACAGGCTCCAGATCGGCAACGCAGGCGAGAGTAGTGCCCCGTGGCAGTAAA